CAATTTAGCTATATGATTTTTATCCTTGAACAACGTGGGTTTGATTTTCATTTCTGACTTATATGGACATTTTTTCTCTTAAAAATATATTGGGAAAGTTTTAGAGATTTGTTAAAAGCTCATAGATTAGCCTTGTAATCTAAAAATCTTAAAACCATAAAGAAATGGTTAGTAGTTTCGCGTATTCATAGGTGCATATTAGACATGCAGATAAGAGCCTATTTAATCATTTATTACCATAGAAGGTATATAAATATACTTAACTTAGCAATTAAACTATCTTAATATCTAGTATTAGCAATTCGAAGATGGCTCTGTGTTTGATCATCCTAGAAATAAAAAGGATTTTGTTCAAAATCTACGCTAATTTAAACTTAATTTTTGCCTAATTTAAAATTTTATACTGGCGTGTTTCTCTTCCGTTTGCCCCTCTTGTTCTACTGACGAGAACTGCATATCTTTTGTGTCTCTTTATAAGCAAAATTATGCTCTTACCATCAGACTTTAAATAATCTAGAATTAATTTGTATAACATAGGTAAGGTCATTTCATTAATTCTTTCCTCCTAAATTTATACCCAACATTTTGAGAACATATTCGGCATGCTTAAGGCATTTGAAAATCCAAAAATCCTTTCTAATTTAAAATCGGATTAAATCTACCATTTCTGTTTCATTCTTAAACTTCGCAAATTGATTTAACTTCGCAAATTGATAAGATATATTTATGTATATGGTATACATAACTGTTTTACAGAAATACAGCCCAAAAAACTTAAATATTTATTAAAATTACTTCTTGCAGTACAATTAAAAATTAACGATTTCTAGGCACCGCTACTTGCAGGATTTCAAATATTCGAGTATTTAAATCAGTAAAAAACAAAATGTAAATTTTACTCTTTAACTCTGCTCCGGTACATGCAAAATTCACTTATAATACGCAGGTCGAATATGCGAGCAGCGCATCTGCGTATGGTAACAGTCTGTTTGAACGGCTGTCATAATACTTCTGAACCATAAATTTGATCGCAATTTAATGTATACCTAATCTGCATTCTGGTGAAGGCTGGCAGAAGACATAGAAGTAACATAAAATATGTCACATAAAAATAACCTGTCAGCTAAAATAAACTTGATAGGATGATTTATACGGAAGACATAAATTTAGACGTTGATAAATACAGCTCACATAATCTGACTTCGATCTTTGTGGAGTCTTTTACAGAGATTTGAAAATGAACAGATGCTAATGGCATGGCTTTTAATAAAGTTCATATTTCTGACAGCATCCTGAAGCAAGCACATTGTTCAATTTCGTACACATTGTAAAGTAGCATTTTATGTAAATATCAGACGGCGTTCAATATTCAACAGAACTGATCTATTCTTTATTGTGATATTAATCTTTGAATCCTTATACGATGATTTATATCAATGTTACCGTGTCAACTTAGGAATACCCTTATTATGATGATTGATGTCAACATGATAACTCGTCGAATCTGAGCGTCAGTGAATTAAGTCCAGAATATCGGACTATAGCACATAATTGTTATGTTTCCTTCAAACTAAATTTAATGTAAAAATTCTATTTTTATAAAATAATTATGTAGTTTAAGGCAAATATAATCACATAATAAATTTTGTGTTTGATACAGCTAATTTTATATTGCTTTCTAAAATAGGTCTTAAACATTGTAACTTAGCAAAAATGGTAAAACATTAAATTTTCTTTATGAACACTTTGACACATTTTGCGTTATCTTCTTGCATGTTTAATTATTCATTTTTTCGTAATGTAAAAACTACATAACGCGTAAATTTTTATTATTGTGCAGAATAATCATAGAGGTTATTTTAAGCTGTTAATTAAAAAAATTTACATCCTGTTTTAAAAAACTGCTGTATGAAAGCAAATTTTATACAATTGTGTATTCACAACTCAAGAACTCTCCAAAGTCACATGAAGTATAATTGTTTTTACCGTCAAAATTTCACTAAGTTTGTGATAGAGCAAGGAGTGAATTCCGTTTTTAAGTGTGGTCTGAATTTTAATCATAACATTTCTTGATGAACAAAGATTGATATGAATTTATTTAAAGGCCATATGTTTTAATGGTGAAATGTATAACGAAGATTTGTGAATAAATATATTCTTAAGCATTATATTTGTTAATTTACGTCTCTGCAGAGAACATAATAATTATACAGAAGTACCACAGCTCATAATTTCTAATAACCTCATAATTTGTACCCTGCTAACTCTTTCAGATGCTTAAAGTGTAAAAATAACAACTACATAAATTTAATATGCACAATAACTACGGCTCTTGACTTCTGAGTGGAAGTGAAAATTTGCTTTTTCCATTGTAATTGCTTTGTTCACAGCAAGGAGGTAAGAAGCAAAGGAGGGGCTGCCAGCAATCCTCATCCTAGGATGTCTTTTCATTGAGAAAATAGTTTAGCTCGCTCGTTTTTATTGATCCATGTAAAGTACTGTTTACATGTTTATATGTTACATACATGGTTTCCAATATTTTAAACATGCTAATAAAAACATCGCTTTGTAAGTAAACTAAAATGTTTTTGTCACACTATTAAAATGTTTTTGAAACTATCACAGTTAAATTTTAGGAGCATCAGCAATTTGTAATAAGCATAAAATAAGCTATTAATCACTTAAGCTTTTAAATACCAATGATAGGCATACGGATGTAATTTTAAAACAGTTTTTCTGTAGCACTTTAAATATGGAGGGTAATTAAAGTGAAACTGCATGCAAATATAACATTCAAAATAATATTTTAATAATAAAGAAATATATTAAATGTAATAACAAAAATTGAAGAAAATAATAGACTGACTGCCGGATAAAATAATAAAACTTTTAATATTGTTTTCTGAATTTAATGAAAAATAATCATAAATTATTTCCTGCAAAATGAGAAAGAGTATTGAATTATAGCAGGAATAGGAGTTTCATCAGAAATTTCAGAAAATTAAGTTCCATGAAGATAATTTAAGTTATCAGTAAGCAGATTATTTTAAGTTATATCCTAGCATACTTAAAAGAAGATACATCGCTATGAAGATCATATAATACAAATAATTTCCGTCTTTATCTTCTTTGCAATATAAAAATTCCTTATATAATTCTAAGGAAATGATAGGAAACAGAAAACTCGTGGGTATTATAATTTAAGAAACTAGTTATATTTCCTAGGTTTTGACTGATGTATTCTCAAATCAGTTTGATAAAAAATTAAAATTAACACTAGAAGAAAAATTAATTAACAAATTAAAATTATATTATATCTATGTTATAATAATTCTAAAAAACTGCAATTTGGAATACTCTTTAGGAATATTTATGGCTTTAAATTATGTTAGTTTCAGTTACATTTATTGACTTCCCTATACAATTTAATAGCTTCCTTAGAGACAGAAAGGTAAAAATGAAATTTGAAAAAGTCTTTATATATAATTTTTAAAAGTCTTTATACAAACTGTTAAAAACAGCATTTTAAAAATTAAATCCAGCTTAAGAAGTAAAGGAATTAAAAGAGACCAATGTTTGAGTCTCAATACATATTTCATTATCATTTAATGATGACCATCAACTAGTGATTAACATATAGCATGCAAATTATGTGATTTTTCTTTTGATGTTTTTCCTGTTTAATAAGAAGACTGGCTAGAAAATTAATCAGAATACAAATACTAAAAACTGCTGAATTCTTTATGATATAAAAATTCCCCCCTTTCCTCAGAAATTTTTATTTTGTCAAAAAAGAATATATATCTATTCCTTGTAAAATATTAATCTTAATTCACTTAACACAAAACTAATTTTAAGTAACTAAAATCACTTAAGTTTTCATTTAACAATAATCGTCCGAATAATTATAATTCAACCATGTTAAAGATATTACTATTAAAAACATCATTTTCATTACATCCGTTATCTGAATTTTAACGCAAACTATAGGCAGATGCTTTCCAAAACAAAAATCACCACTCTCAAGGAATTTTAACATAAAGAAAAGCAACAGCAGAAACTAATGTGAATAGGAAAGGAAATATAAATTATTCAATGCATAAAAATGAAAGAAGAAATTAAACATAGAAGTTTAAATTTTTATTTTTTGATGCATCATTTTTTTTCTGAACCCCCAACAGTACAACAACAAACCATTATATTACATTAAATTAAAAAAAGATAAAGATTATTGTCGAAACTATCATCTACACCCACAAAATCCATTCCTTTGGAATGAGAGGGTGAACAAAGGAAAATTTAAGAAAGGGATTGTGCCTTGAAAATGGGCTTGTTTTTCGGCTTCAGATTGGGAACACGACGTCCGCTTTACCTACTTCTTAATTCAATGATTCACGGCCCAAAAATCTTGGTCCTAAACTACAGGCTTCACCAGTGCCTGAGTTGTTAATACCATTGAATGCTGATAATTTGACATGAGTTCGAACCCAGGCTAACGGGCTGGCTGCGTGTTTGCTCAATGTTTTACTTGAATGCGAGTTAGTTTCCTTTAGAAATTCCTCCACAAAAGCACCCCTCAGTCAAATTATCCCATATGCTTTCCTGTATTCAAATAATCTAACCTAAACTACATAGTTTAGGCCTCGAGTTGTAGTTTGATATCTTGATCACTGAGCAATGCCTAGTGTCTTCTTCTAGAAAACGAAACTGTGCTTAAACGTACACTGGTGGAATGAACACTTCCTGACAGTTATACATTATTGCTTGACAGAACGTTTCTTGAATGCAAAAAGGGTCAAATGGATAGTAGATTCCAAAATAAAAAGTTCATAAAATTGTTTTGTGTAAACAGCCAAAGCGAAACTGACTGAGCTATGTCCTCATCCAAATGAACAGGATTGTGACAACTTTCTCATGCTGTTTTATTAAACCTCTCTCAGAGTAAAAAAAGTGTTAAATAAAAATGTTTTAGCTAAAACAATTTAAATGTCTGATTATACCTGCATAGGATTCACCAGCAACATAGAAATCGTTGTCTCTGTACTCGGGAAAAACAGTAAAAAACTGTTGTAGGAATTCGTACATGTCATCGGCCATTTCTTCCTGATTCTTAACGTAGCCTCTGTCGTCAAGTGTGAAGCTAAACCCCGTGCCCACTGGATTGTCCACATAAATCATTTGAAATGTACTGGCCCAGTTATAAGGTCGAAAGTCGGCGCTTGTATTAGTCTTCAGCACGTATGGCCCATGTTCCACAAAGAATCCAAACATTCCAGAGAAACCAGGACCTCCTTGTAGCCACAGGATGATGGGTGAGTCCTCATCGCCGTTCTGAAAAACAAAAGCAGGTAACACTGAAATGAATGTTTCTATGCTAGTCTCTAACTTTTAGTAATAGAATTTCCAGTGACGGTATTGGTTTTTGTATAAGGCAGGTTCTCTCTCTTTTTGAAACATTATATGGACTAGTTTCAGTTTATTTGGATTAAACACGTAGCCTTGTGTGTAAGGCAGCTAGCTGAATATCAATAGTTCAATCCCCGCGATTCGAGCCAACAGGCACATGGATATTTTCACACTTTTCACATTTAGCTCTATTGCCCAACTACTTACATCAAAGGAAGTGCACTAGAGGATATAATAATTCCTTACTCTTTCCTTCATTAAGGTATCCTTCCCATAAACACACAGTATACCTTGGTTCCACTAAGCAAAAAAATGCCTTAAATGAACTTGACCGCGAGCATAATTGATAAAAAAATTAAATAAATAAAAATCAGGCTGGGAAATTGGCGGCAAAATTCAAAAGACAGAATGAGTCTATTTCAGTACGGTATACAAATTGTACAAATTTTTCCAGAGACACTATGATTAAATTTTAAATAACCTTCATTTTTTCAGAAAGAATGATTTTATGGGTTGTAATGACGTACACTTATTGGAAATTCCTTACTGTACGTTTTAGAGTGCAAGTACAATTCTGTAATACGGAGATCGTTCACAGACATTTTTAATATACGTTTAAATACAGTTTTGCTTCAAGAAAAGAAATGACTATCCGGCAATGTGCTAACGTGGTACTTATAACAAAAATTATTGTAAAAATATGTCACTTTTGCTTTCCATTGTAAAAATATGCAACATTTGTGAGTAATTCTCCTAAAAAGAGGTAACGAGAATTACTCACAAAATATATCTAAAAATCTGAAAATAATAGCTGTCTCTACTTTTTGAGCTATAAACCTGGATGCGTAAAATATTGATATACTTTGTGTGAAAGCAAGACAGATTGCCTGAAAAAAAGGCATTACATTAAAATGTCCTAGCTTTATAAAATAATCACCGATTCTGGATTTGAAAGTGCGCTGAACAAATCTGAATCGAACGCATTGAAGTCTTTTCAAAAGGGTGGTAACGATTACTTCAATAAGCAAAAGGCAGAAAATTATAGGGTATTAATTAGTGAACCTCTAAAAAAATTGTTTCAAGCAATAAATAAATATTAGCCTGTAATACGCAGCTTTAAATTAAAGCTACTTGAGTATTCTCAAGCATTTCATTCTTGATTTTTGCCTTCAAAGAACATAGGAATTGTAAATATTAGGCTTGGAGAACATTTCTATATTCAAAATATACGCTCGCATAATTTAATATGTAATACATTATGCACTTTGAAGAAGGAACTCGGTAAAAAATATTAATCTGTGTAATATTTTCAAGAATTTTTTATCTTTTCTACTTCTCTGTGTAGTCGTAACAAAAGTGCATTACGTGTATATTTATGGTGCGTGCTTTTGTGATAATATAAGCACTAAAATCTGTTTAAATGACAGGTTAAAAATTATTATTACATACTCATGCTTCTTGCACATTTCGAAGGAAATGACTCAACATTTTGTAAATATGCACATGAGAATTTTGAATTTTTCTTAAAGTGTTTTTAATTGCCGTTATTTTTGTTTTTGATTTTATTTATTTTACACATGCTTTATATTTTAAGAGGCATAGAACGTTCTGTGACAGAATCTCCGATCACAAAAATTTGCAATCAGACGTTGCGTTAAATGTCGGATACATGCGGTGGACATGTTTAAAGTATGTACATTGCAAAGAAATAACGAACATAAATGGAAGCCTGTTGCGCTAATAAACTACTGTTGATCTCTTAAACAGAATGCAGCAGTATATTATTGTAGAGCCGTTTGGTTATTTTGAAGCAGAAGACACTGAAAAATGTTCAGTGCTCTTGCCGGACCTCTCAAATACGTGTCGAGTATGCTTCCAGTTACACCACGAAAGCATGCGGAAAGGAAGGATAAAATACCTTCTATTATATTGAACGAAGTTGATCGGAATTTATTCTAAGATGAATATCTCTCAATTTATTAGTTTATACGCACCAAATACCTACGTTTTTTATTTACTTGTACGAAGTAAAGGAAGTATTGTAAACATGAAAAATTTCAGGTACCTTATTTCAACGAAAATATCCATTTTGACCGCTATCGAATGCAATTTAACGATGTTTTTGCGTGACACCTGCACGTATGGACATATAAAAAGTCTCCTTTTCCCCCCCAAAAAAAATTCTAAAACTGATTTAAAATGGATTCAGAAGAGATTTTTTTGTGGCGTCTGTATGTACGTACGTACGTGCGTATGTATGTATTCATGTATGTATGCATCGCGTATAACTCAAAAACGAGTAGCCTCAGAACGTTGAAATTTTGTATATAAGACAGCTATAGGATGCAGTTGGGCATCTCTTTTTTTGGTGGCTATCGGCCGCACCGAAAGTAAATAAATATATTTATATACATATACCCACTCTGTTACTTGACTCCGTGAGCTCAGTCTTTTTATTCTTATATAGTGGTAAATTTTGCATTTTTTGCTTTAACTGTGATTGCAATATGTTGTTTTTAATCTTCCGGTTAAGGTTTTTATGCCTTTAGTTAACCTGCATGCAAAATTTATAGAATTATGAACAATTTAGAAGTTGTTTAAGTGCAGTTGGGCCTAATTTTTTAACATAGCATACATTTGAAATTCTGCTAATTTCAAATGTATGCTTTACATTTGAAAATTAGCAGAATAGTGGATTTGTTGCCAATCTAAAGAAACTAAGCTTTGCAATAAGAACAGTTTCTTTTTTATTTGTCTAATTTATTTTATACATCGTTTTAGATTTATTATAGTATTTCAATAAAACATGTGACAACAATTAGATAATTCTTCAGATGCTATAATTTTTGCGTAATCTGAGTTATAAAACGAATGAGATGAAACGCTGTTAAGTGAACCTTGCACCAGAGGGTCGCTATGGTGAATTTTAAGGAGTTCACTTATTCTACTGTGGTTTATGCGCTATCGACGAAGTAGATTAAATTCAATTCAATAAGTTTAAACGAAATGCAGAAAAAATGCGTATAATTTAATTTTTTCTATTTTTCTACCTTTTTATTATTTTCTTCTCCTTTCTTATAGTTTTAATTTTTTAAATAATAAAATATTAATTTCTTGAAACAATGCCGAGTGTGCTGACTCCTACACCACGAATGCATGCTAAGAAGGCGGGAGAAATACCTTAAACGTTCATTAAAAATCGCAATCTCCTAGAGTTTCTTGAGAGATGGTAAAATGTTAATAAAGGAAAGAAATCGGTGATTCAAATTAAAATTTTGCGTAAATCCCAAAGGAATTTTTCATTCTATGATGAAATACATCATTGTACAGAGGCGATCAGACATTAATGCTGATAACATTCCTGAAGAGGGTTTTTGAAAGTGAACACGTAGGATTTCTGAGCTAATAATTCATGCTCAGATTTTTCTTGCATAATAAATAGTACAATGCAAATTGAAAGCTATGCTGCACTCAAGGCATGAAGAAAGAAACATTTCAAGTTTTTTTTATTACGTTAGACTGTTTCAGTTATGATAAAACACCTCAGGGTAACCAGCCTGTGGGGATGGATATAGCTTCATGCTGTACGTTCTTACAGAAAATATTCCATATTTGTGTTACAAATAAGAAATAGAATCTGTGAAGGAAAATCACAGAAAATAGAATTCTGTGATGAAAAAACACAACCTTATGAATAGTATATTTGCTGAAATTACATATTTACAGTTGATTCGAAGAAGAAATATTCTACGCTAAAGAGTATACCTCCTGTTAATTTTGAGTTCTTGCTGTATATGCAAAAATTTTACAATAGAAATCTTGAAAATACAGGAACCAAACGTTTTGAAAAGTTACAGCTTCCGCAGTGGTAAAGAAGAGAAGACGAGTGCAAGGAAAACAGCCTACCTTTTCCAAATCGTGGTCTAGAAATTTATGACAACAGCAAATATTTGGTATACTCTTCATGGACGTATACGGTGTTCAGGTTTCAAGCCTCTGCACTAACCTAATTTGAAATAGCCAGTGAAGAATATCCGATGGTAAATTTTAACTTTTAATAATGCTTAACATTTAGATCCCTTCTAGTCTGGCTTGGTTGGAATACCTGAATTTACGTTCCTATTACACTAAAAAAAAAAAAAAAAAAAAAAAAAAAAAAAAAAACTGAATTTAGTTTTATAAAGCATACGCAAGCAAATAAAAATGTGACTAAACTTTATCACAGAATACATCACAAGATGCATTAATTAAAGGAACACTAAATTTCTACGCATTGTCAGGTTGGTAAACACACAACTACTTGAATAATGTTTTTAACTTACCCGACCGAAAACGTCACTGTGACGTAAACACCTGACAGCAATAATACAAATCCAGTTTTTTAATAAAAATGTTAAAAAAATAGAATTGATAGACGTAATTGCTAATACTTTTAAACGATACACTTAACTTCGAAGAAAACGTTACTAAGAAGGAGAAACTCTTGAAAAAAAAAGAACTTCATTTGGGATTTCTGCAAAATTTTCACTTGAACGACTTATTTTTTTTAACCTTAACATTTTACTTTCGGAAAAGTAAATTTTTATTAGCTTTACTTTATCCCCTTCGATGGACGGCCGAAAAATTGCTTGCCAACATTCGCTGAAAATTTTGATCAAACTCATCTGCCATTTATTCTTTTCTTCTGAGAAATTGTTCTTCAGGGTGCACCACAGGAGACGGCCGATATTTCACCCGTAAGGCAGGAAAGAGACAATAACATACAGTCAAGCCTTCCTACACTCTTGGTTTTTAGTTTAAGAATAAGTCCAAACACTCCCAAAAAGTAACCATGGCGTTTCGAGGAGCTAATTTTATATTTATGCTCAATGCTTTAAAAATATCAATGGAAATATCAAGAGGATCCTAATATAAAAATGTAAGGATGTTTTTATTATTTAAACAAACCACTTCCAGGGGAAAAGGCCCAGAATATATTTTGGTTTTTGAAGATAAGAAACCAGTACTACTCTTTCTAAAGATTTAAAGAGTTACTATGAATATAAAATACAATGAACAATAAAATCATAATAAGGTAAAAAATTTAAAAAAAAAAATTCAGATTTAAATTATTTCCAAAGCGGCATTTTTTTAAGGTTTTGTGTGTGACCTTTATTCATTAAATATCATGTTCTTCGCACTTGAACCATAAAATTCAATTCAATAGCAATATCGGAAAATAATTTAAAAATAAGCATATCTTTAGAATTTCCGGCACATAGTTCCGCGCGCTCGAGATAAATAGGTATTTTTCTCCCGTAGAGTGTTTCCATTGCTCGCTTTAAAATAGTTCAGTTTGTTAATCAAAAATTCGTTAAAATTTTACAAAATATGAAATAGATAATAAAACAAATTCCAAATTTGGGCTTCCAGATGCCCATATTCGGGTGGAAACGTACGTTATTCAAAATTGGATGGATCTAGTCTCCTTTGTTTTATCACAGTGCGAGAAACTTACATACACTTATGCAGATTCTTCATTATTTAATTTTTTTAAATATAATACAGGGCGATAATATTTGGTGGCAACAATTTGAAAACTGAATCGGACATTTATAGTGAACCAACGCAAAATGCCAAAAGGAAAATAATAGTCTTTCAGGGCAAATTGCCCCTTTGGACTAAAAAGTGAAACGGAGAGCAATTTTTTGCTGAATTTTGCCCAATTTAAAAATTCAAATTGACAAATAATTTTTCCACATATTAAAATTTTGATTATCTATAATTAAACAGCTTTTTAGGTTCTCCAAAATTCTATTATTGTGAATTTAATTGTACTGAAAGCTGGTTCAAGCCGTCTTACATTTAATATTTTTTACATCATTTAAGATTAAAAAATTCCATTTCCTACCTGTCACATTCGCAGCATTTTGTTTCTGTAAAACTTGTTTTTACTTCATAAATTTCAGTGTTATTTGAATTTAATATTCCTCTTGATTTTAATAGGTGGATACAAGTCAAATTAAATAGCTTCATATTTTGAAATTATTTTTGACATTCAAATTCATTTAGCATTTTACAGAAAAATAACATTTAACAACTCCGAACTCTAAACACTTTCTTAAAGAAATAATATTGATAATCTGTTGACAATTAATTATAAAAGTGTGATTACGTTTTTCATTTCTAACTCGAAACTGTTTTCAACTTCTATTGGACGCTTCAAGTAGAATAAATATTTTTGATTATACGAACGCTAAGTAAATCTGAATATTTTTGAAATTAAAGAACATTTTCTGAATTAGAGTTTCTCCTATGCGACGACTTTTCTTTCATGGGATCTCCCGTTAATTTCCCGTGAAGTTTTGCATAGTTTTCAGGTTCCACGAACAATTGCAGGAATTTGGTGTATTGTGAATACGGCAAAGCACACTAGGGCTATCTGCCTAAGGGGAGTGATGCCTTCGTGGAGGACTTTCTACGGGAAACTGGCTCGTATACACGTTACACATGGGGAAAACCACGAAAACGCCCATGCTGCCAGCCCGTTCGCGGGATTCGAACCTCGGACCGAACTATCAGTGCTCAGCGATTTTACCGCTCGGCCGCTGGTGGGCCACGCATGAATTTGGAAAATGTACTGTATATTTATGGATGTACATTTAAAATTTAAACTATTTATAAGAAATAAAAAAATGAACTCTACGTTAATTTTTTACAAACTGCACAATTTTCTTTAAAGCAGCATTTTTCATTTTTTAAACTGTTTTGCACAAATTGTTTTTTTAAAGAAGCATTTTTCATTTGTTAACTGTTTAATGCATTTCATTCACCCTTTCGCATATTTTGTAATGCCAGTATTCCGTTAGCCAGTAATACGCTGACAGTTAAAAACTTATTTGCTGCAAAAACAATTACTGGAACTTTTATTCATAAACACACCAAATGCCATATATATTCAAAGCTAGGTTCTTTTACAAAGTCCTCCACGACGTTTACAAAGTTTTACAAAGTCCCTCTAGACAAATAGCCTCGCGTGATTTGTCGTAACAGTGGCGTCCTATAGGGGGGATAGCTAGTAAATATGCCAAGAGAGTGGTATTTTTGGAGTCTTCATTTTTAAGTGAAGCAGTTATTTTATAGGGGTTAGTAATGTAGATCATCAACGTACGTGAAAGGTAACAAGATTCTGAATTGCTATATGCAATTAAATTGAGAACTGAAACTGTTTATACACTAGTCAGAGAAATCAGAAATCACTATGAGATTTCAATAGCTACATACTTTTGATATACCTTTTCTATTCTGTCAAAACGTATGAAAAAATAGGATCATGAAAATCACGATGACATTAATATGGAAGAACTGCTAGTTAGGAGAAAAATATTTCTGAGTTTCATTTCCATTATTGCTAAGGGAAACGCAATAGTGATATGAAAAAGAGGTGCTTTATTCAAAAATACAGTATACTTCCATAGTGATATTGTAATACTTACTTCTGTGGATTTTGCTGATAACAGTTGTTAAGTATTACTAACTGTGAAAAGCATTTGTCAAATAAAAATCAGTTAAGACCTGCAAATCAATATTTTAAGAAATGTTTCTACAGAACAACTACTCAAGCAGAGAAATAGATATCAAGATGTCAAGGATGGTTTTGTGAATAGAAAACAGAACTTCAGAATTTTAGAAATAAAGTTTTTTTTTTAAATAAACATAAAATTTCTAATTTATTTCCACGTATGCCATCTTGACAATTTTTATTTTATTTTATTTATTTTTTTTTTTTTCTGATGCTGAGATGCGCAGCAAATTCAGGAACCGCCCCAGGCGGTAAACTCAGGAATCACATCGTACGGCAAAAGCTCTGCTTATGTTATTTTGCCTTAAACAATCTGACTGTAAAAATTAACTGGAAGGAGTTCCAGCTTTCTAAAAATATTTAATATTATTTTAAATTAAAATTAATTTCTAAAAAATTTCTAAAAATATTTGACTGTAAAGAATTAACTGGAAGGAGTTCCAGCTTCCTAAATAAATTAGTTTGTGTGACTAATTTTCTCAGGTGCAACTTACATATAAACCAGTATCCTTTAGAAATTCCTCTACGAAAAGTCTTTAGATAAAGAACTCTTTCGCGCTTTCCCAAAATAAATTAAATGAATATTTTAAAATTAAAAAAAAATATGGTTGCAGTATTACATAAAATAAACAGATTTCTACTATGAAAGTTTCCATTGGATTTCTTGATTACCTCAAAACGACTTTAAGTTACGTTGCTGGGGTCAGAAACGATTTCTTGGGAGATTTTTTTTAGAAAAAAACTGATTAATATTTACTTGGAGGAAATACACATTTGGAGAAGATGCTATGGTATTCAGTACTGCAGTTATAATAATTTTTTATTATAATTTCCAAATGATAGAGATAGAAATAGGTATATTAAAATATTCACTAATTTGTACAAATGTGTAGCAGTTTTTTATAAAATTACTTTTTATAATTAATAAATGCAACAAAAATTTACGTGCGTTTTATTCTTTTCATTTATTTTTTAATTGTCGTTACAGAAAGAATGCAATGTGTACTCACCAGTGCTGGAAAAAACCAGAAGAAAATATTACTGTCATACTCTTTACGAACTGTAAAGAATCCACTGTAACTGAGTAGATGCGGATTAGCTGCAGGCAACGGTCTTGTTTTGCTTAAATTACGCGCTAACTCTATATCCCCGGATTCGATGTAAGGAGTTAGAATTAATGGCTCATTCGGAGACACAGCATTCATGTTTGCACGAGAAATCTGGTAGCTGATTGATGAACGAATATAAACCAAAAATAAACCGGTCACTATTGCGATTACTTCCATAGTGAGCAAAAATTTTTATCGCAAAGAAATACTGTCAACTAAGAATTACTAAATCCAAATATCTTTTCTTCTAACAAACTAAGTGTTAGCAGACCACGCAAAGATTCATACTAAAAATCATTTATCTGCTCGCTGCCGCCATTAGTTTAAAAATGTATTTAAACATCGGGTAGGTTTGCTTGCCGGCATGTCGGGCAGCGTTTCAACAGAATTTTTCATTTTCTCTCTTAGCCCCCAAGGTCACACAACGAGTAAAAACAAGATGTGCAGGTGTTATGTAAGAGCTCCAAACCATCTCGGCATTTTGAATTCTAGCTTAGTTGCTTGATCGATTCGTTAGAAAAACATTCGGTGGCATGAATTCGTAATTTTTATCCTCAGCCTTTAAAATTCAATGCGAGTAAAGTAATTTAAAAGATAGATTTGAAATGATTGTTTTTCTTCTTTTAGCAATCATTATCTACTCATAAGTGATGATACTAAACATAGAATTTTAACTTATTTCTTATATTGTATTGTAAATAATAAATTTATTTGTTTGTAAAATTTATGGTACTTAAGTTGAAAATGGCAATTAAACTTTAGAATTGGTTAGAGATCTCAGTTTAATAAAAAATTGAGCAAAATCGCAAAAATATATTCACCATCACCTCGTTCGTCAGAAGATTTTAGTCGAATATCGATGTTCTGCAGGCCTCAGCCACTAACTCGGCCATTGGTGGTAAATAACACAAGCAGTAACGAAGGAGTCTTGTAATATTGTGAAAAAGGTGTAAACGATAGAATGTGACTACTAGGGTAGGATGCTGGTTTGCTTTGATGCAAAATAAAATTCTTGTCTCATTTGGCTGTATTACAGAATTTTAGGCACATATCTTTACATATCAAAAACACTATTAAACATGTACTTTTCTTTTCATGCATTCCAATATATTCTTTCAGATACTGGAATTCATGATCTGCTCAGAGTATCTGATATGTAATTACCTCCTCACCTGTAAATGTTGCAGCATATTTAGGACATGGCTACGTTCAGACCGGTGGTATAAATGTTATAACTGGTTTAAGTTGTAGGTAACTAGACCTTGCTAAGTTACTATATCTTTATGACATTTATACCACCGTCTGAACGGAGCCTAAGTGTCCTATATAATTTTCCTTATCATTCCATTATGCCACGCAGTAACCTCACACAATTATTAAGTGATAGGACTATTCCCATAATACTATTTTAGTGTTCCTTTTCACTTTTACTCTTGTCTGGTATTGATTTGGCTTGGTTAATCGAATAGAGCAAAGCACGCAAAGACTGTCTGTATCTGAAGGGATGCCTTGTGGAAAGATCTATGAAAAACTCCCTCATATAAATTTTACATATGGAAAAAAAATCTAAATTTTCCTTGTAACCATCTCGTTTATCGTGAAATAAACCCACGATGGATTACAACTGTTTAACTGTTTTAACTATTATGCTTTTGATAGCACATTAGATGGGAAGAACGACTTTCTTGATTAATGGCGAAACACATTAGGAGTGGCTGACAAAGAGAAGGGGTGCTTTCAGGAAGAACTGGTTTGAACTTATTTTGTTGCACTCAAGGGAAACCACATACAGTCAGCCATATTATTAGGATTTAAACCCAAGTCAGATTAGTTGTATTCAGCGATTTTAAGCATTTGATCTTTGTTGGAATATTAAAGCAAAAGAGAAAATTACCAGAATAAGAAAAACTTCTCATATAAGTATGGTAAAAATATATAAAGAATAAATATTTTCGTATTTTGTAATACCGTTATATTATTCTTGCATCATGATATCATTTAAAATATTCTCAATAAAATCACTTTTCAATAAATCTGCTTTCAAGCCTGGATAGTAATTTAAAATTTTTTTGATAGTCTGCGTTTTGATAGTTTCAGAGATTTTAACTAGTTTCAAACCCAAAATATGTTGTTTCTCACTAAAAGTACCTTTTTTAGTGAGATCCAGCGTTTATAAAAATTCAGAGATTTTATTTTATCCATTATAAAATTCTGAGATTAGTTCAGCTGTATGTTACTGAGAAAATGTCTTGCGATTTCAAGCAATCTTGCTATTTTCACTCTTCGTCTAAAATTCGACAATCAACCACACAACAAAAAAAAAAAAAAAAAAAAAAAAAAAAAAAATATTTCCGTTGAATAACAGAAACCCTGAACAAAAGGGACTGATAGGTCCATGTTCCTAGAAAAAGGGGGGGGACAGGCAAAGAGAATCAATCTCGTCCTAAAAAAAGATGTTATCTTGATTGTAGCAATCTATTGTTAGACTCTCTAAGGTAATACAGTTTTTTTTCTTTGTTGAAAATGATAAATTTAATTTAGGAATTTTGAGAAAGGAAGCTGCCGAACTTAAAATTTCCTGCAAATATTTTTTCTAACTTTTGAATCATAACAAGAATTCCGGTAAGTTTGTACAGAAGCAAGAAAAATAAAACATTTCATATTACCATTCTTCCTAAATCGATACTACAAACTGACCATTAGTTATGGCTATAGAATCACATTCCGAAAATTATTTTTTAATTCGGATTTATTAAATTGTAAATTATTTACTTCTATTTTTTAATTTACATTATAGTAAATTTCAGCACAGGCTGTTTTCAAAGGATTGCAGCTAGACAATGGCAGAGTATTGATGCCGCTGAACACCATTAGTTCGACATATAACTAAAACGAACAGCTAGCTTATTCGAATTTAGCAAAGCAATGCGTAAGGGCTGCTTTCATGGAGGACTTTCTAAGGGAAACTGAACCACTCGGCTACTGCTGGAGCTCTTGACTGCATGATTGTTTTCTTGACGTTTCACACTCAGTTTTCCTTAGAAAGTGCTTTACGAAAGCAGATAGCCCTCATATGCTTTCTCATATTCAGATAATCCAACTCAACCCAAAAGATTACAAGAGTAAATGTTTCTTGAAAACTTTCGAAAACCTTTTAAGTCATGTATCTTTGCTTGCCGCGGACCTTCGATTTAGAAAGGTCTTCCAGCGAACATGGGAAAGTCCGGAGTTCGAGTTTTGGCGAGGCTCAAGTAAGAATCCCCCCGCTCAAGATAAAAGCGAATAATTTCTCACACTATTGCAAATTAGCTCTGTACACTTTAAGTAGTAAGCCTTACATGACAATTTTAAGTAAATTTACACAACATTTGAGCATTTATATTTGTCTTCCATAAAGATCACTCTGAACGAAGTTTGCTATGGTTATTATTCTAAATAAACTCTTTAAAATAAAAAAAGGAAAATTCAGAATTTTAGTGGAAAAATTCTTTTTAGTTTCAGTGCTAAATTTATAGAGCTTCCGATTATGCTTCATAGTTTTCATGAAGTTTTCACCACATCAAAAAAGAGGGGGAACAGAAAAAAGAAAAAGAAGAAAAGAAACTCATAAAATTCTGGGATCGTATAAACATGGAAAACTTTAGTTAAAAAATTTTGAAATGTACCAAATTTACTAAGGATGGGAAGTTCCAATCTGCAAATTTTATAAATCTAGAAAGATTCTTAAAATCCGGCAGTTGAAATATACGAGTTTAATTTGTCATCATATACTTTCAAATTATTAACATAAAAAATGTTAAACGTTAAAAAAATTTGATAAGGCTAGCTTTGTTGACATCCAACAGAAATATTTATTAAAAGAAGAAGGTGATTTTTCTTATTTCAGTTACACTTGTATCCACAGTCTCACTTCGTGTTGCAAAAGTATTCAGTTTTCAGAGTGGACTCTTCAGATAGCTCTTTGAGTTTTTTCTATATTTTGTGGAGAGTATTTATCTACTAGAATGGATTCTTTAGACAGCTCTTTGACATTTTTCTATACTTTGTGGAGAGAATTTAGTTGTCTATTAAAATGGATTCTTTAGACAGCTCTTTGATTTTTTTCTATACTTTGTGGAGAGAATTTAATTGTCTATTAGAATGAAATCTTTAGACAGCTCTTTGACTTTTTTCTATACTTTGTGTGAGAGAATTTAGTTGTCTAATAGAATGGATTCTTTAGACAGCTGTTTGACTTTTTTCTATACTTTGTGGAGAGAATTTAGTTGTCTATTAGAATGGATTCTTTAGACAGCTCTTTGACTTTTTCTATATTTTGTGGAGAGACTTTAGTTGTATATTATACTGGGTTCTTTAGATGGATTTATGGTATCTAAAGACTGGACTAGAATTATGGCAAAGTAGAATGGATTTATAAAAAAGTAATCGAAGGTCATCTACTTAATGGGAGAAACTAGATGACATTCATGTTACACATAAGGTAAACCCTCTTACATTCAATCTGTTCGATATTGTTTTTCGTCCCGGGCTCAAATCTGTTCGAGATTTGAGACCGGGACGAATACCAGTATTCAGCGATTTTTCAGCTCGGCCACAGCTGGCAATCCATATCTGTGTGACATCTGTGTGAAAGCTTGAAATCATTCTCTCCTCCCTATACATCACTTTACTTAAAATTATTCTGGAAATGTATAAAAAGTTTGAAGTATTATACAATTTGTTTTTCAAATTATACTAAAAAATGAACTTCAAGATTGAAGAGTTTTAACCATGTATTTCATTTACATGTTCGTTAGAAATATAGACAATTTTTCAAATATTCTTAAATTTGCTTTTTTAATTAACGTATAAAAAATATCGCATTCTGCTGTGAGTGCTATTGTTTTGTAAGTCGTTAGCATTCCATCTGGCAAACGGAAGATATATAGTAGTATGCTAGCAAAGGCTAGCTGGCCAGCCTCGAATGCTAGCTCATTTATTATGTTCCCACTCAAAAAGAGCATTTCAGTTAAAATCTAGTGGTCAATAATTAATCAAGCGTTAAATTTTGTCGACTGGATAGAACAGCCTCTCTCAAAGTGCGAAAAAATACGAGAAATTATCTGATCTTTTCACGTGTGCATTTCTTTTTTAAGCGCTTTAGTATTCGGAAATGCGAGGTTCTAATTTTGGAGACAGCGGAACTGATTTCTCATATATTCTGCTTCAAAATGCTCTAATAATATTTATAAACTCAGATTTTTAATTTTGCTTTAGATAAAAAAATTAATATTAAACACAATTTTTCTGTTCTTATTATTCTTCTTACATAAAGGATTCGAGAATTTTAGAAAATTCAAAATATTCAGAAATCTCTCAGGATTCAGAATCGGAAAATATTTGGGATTCATTTGT